GACAAACAAACAAACAAAACAAAACAAAACAAAACAAAAACAATATGCTGGAGGCTCTGGGAGTAGAGGGGAGTGTCTGGGAGACCTTAGCAGGCAAGATGAACTGAATTTTGGAGGGTCGTGTACCAGGCCAGACCTTTCAACCTTCTCTTTCACTTCACCCTGCAGACCAAATTGGACCACCCACTGTATATCACAGAGAGTGCCAGCTCTCCTTCTAGACCACTCCATGTATTCTGTTCGGACTCTATTCCTCCTCACTGCTCACCTGAGTTATTTCCTTCCTTCAAAGCTTAGCTCATAGCTCATCCTCCAAGAAGTCTCCTTCCACCTACCCTCATCCTCTATCGAACTTCCACAGTGTTCACTGATGGCCACTATCACATGTTTGGCACTTGGAGCAAAGCCATCTTTTATTTTTAATGACTTGTTTCCTGTATAATTCCTTCTCCCACAGCTGAACTGAACATTTCTTCAGGTCAGAGAATTTCTTACATCACTTTGAATTCTAATGTTCCTTGCACGCAGTCAATATTTAATAGCAATAGCATTGATTGAACATATACCATGTGCCAAGCACTTGACAAATATTAAATCTAACCCTTATGGTTAACTTGCAAGGCAGATATTATTATCTTCCTTTGACAGTAAGCTTAAGTCATTGTATAGTTGGCAAATGGCAGAGCTGGGATTTGAATTCAGGTCATCTGGATCCAGAGCCCAAACTCTTCACTGTGCTATGCTGCCTGTGTCTTAGATGATGAACTGAAGTGTTGTAAGTTCCCAGATGACAGAGTGATCGGAAACATCAGCTCAAAGATGATTCCACTTGAGTATGAATGAGTTCTCAGAGATTCAGATCTATTTTAAGTCCTAAACAGTGAAATGGGAACACTGAATAAATGAATAACAATAATTAAGAAGATAAAAGAATGGGATAAACTTTTTAAAGTTTGAGTATTAAAACTGAATACTGGAACGGGAGGGACCTAACTCTCTACTTTTGTTGATAAGGATACTGAAGCCCAGAGAGAAGAAAAGAATTGCCTGAAACCACTGATGGCCAGAAGGAGGGGCTCAAACAGATTGAGGAAGTAATTTCTCTTTTGGTGTATAAGAGCTATCTTGGATACATTTTCCAAAGCTTCAGGGAAATTAACGAAACGTTGAGTTGCTACAACGTACAGTTTCTAACTGTGTATTCTTTTCTTTTTATACTTCACAAGAAATCCAAATGCAAATCACAGATATGGACATCACAATGTTTACGCTTGGTGGTAATTGAAGTGTGCTTATGATTGGAGCCACAAAACAGCAGCTGGATATATAACTAAACAAACCTCTAACTAGCACTCCTGATAGAAAAAGAGACAGTTATTAGGGATGGAGCTAGGCAATGCACATCTGTTCCACAGTTTGTGTTTACCTACCTCTCAACAAAGATCAAACACTCTTAATTACTCTATGCCATAAAAGCGCTATGTGGCACCCATTTTCATGTTTGTGCCTCCAAAATTTCCCATCGGTAAGTACTATTGTCATACTTCTTTCTGTGCTTACAATACTTTCCTTCTAAAAATAATTAGGAAACATTTTAACCAAGATTCCCAGCTGACAATATGGCCTTATCTTATGTGTCCTTGATGTGGAGATTTGAGCAGCTAATTTATAGATGGGGATGTAGGAAAATATGGAAAAAGAAAATAATTGTAAGTAATTGTGATCTGAAAAGCAAACACTTGATGTTGGTATAAAAGAATCATGCCAAGTGGAAATAGTTAAATTTTGGACTATAGATGTATAATATGTATAATTCAAGATTAATATAATCCAAATAATTTTCCCACTTGGGATATATCTCCTCAACATTTTCATCAGTTCAGATCTTTCAAAACAACCAGAAATCTTCACCAATTTTTCCTCATGTTTATGTATAATATTAACTCAAAATAACTTTCATAGCTACTTTCTTATTGTTCCTCACTATAGCTTTTTGATGAATGAGCAGATCAGGATAGCTATCAGCATGTCCATAAACAAAAAAAATAGGTTGAGCACTAGACCTCTATTTCCAGGCTAATTCTAAATCTCCCCAAACTGCATTGTACCACTCCTCCCCTATTCCACTATGCAATTTTAATGCCAAAATGATTTTCATTTCCTACTCAGCAAGTTTAAAAACTTTTTCCTTTCATGCTAGCTACTGTATATTCAATGATTATATGTGAATCTTAATGATAGCTTAAGAGAAACTTGATTAGAAAACTCAGTAGCCTGAAAATCGTTCATTGAATTTCAAAGCAAAATGGAAAACTGGTTATTGAAAGCAATAAGTTATTAGGCTTATTGCTTCTTCTTGTAATTCTCATTTTTCCTTTACTATAGATAATTAAGAGTTCATTCAATTTTATGACGTTATTAAAATTTCTCAATGATTAGCTTTTTTGGGGAACTCAATTGAAGTAGTGTAATTGAAAAAAAAAGGCAACATAAATCTACATCGAAAGACCAATTATATATTTTTTGGTACTAGAGATTGGAGAATAGCTCATATTTAAATATTCTGGCAGAAAATCTTGTAGCACAATAAAGAATAATAGAAAAATGTGAGAAAGAAAGAGAAAAGCCATTATTTAAAAACAGATATCCACCATAATAGTGTGAAACCACAGGATTATGACTACAATGTACAGAAGTAGGTTTAAGTTGTCTTTGGTGAAAGTCTTTTTTGATGTGAGGGATTTTTCTCCCTTTGATTCCTACTGCAAAGATGTGAAAAACATTTCATGGTATCAAAAACAGATGTTCTTGTGGTAAAGATGGATCAACACGGCCTGTGCAAACTTATCACACTGTTGCCACAAAAAGCAGAGCAGCAATTTGGACACCAAATAGGCGCTTCCTAAAAGATACTTATTCAGGGGGATTTAGTTTTTATAATATATGTTTTTATGACCTACGGCTGCTTTAACAAATTACCGCAAACTGGATGACTTAAAAAGACCAAAACTTATTCTTTCATAGTTCTGGATGCCAGAAGATCACATCAGACTGTTGGCAGGGCTGCGCTCCCTATGGGACTCCAAGGGAGAACCCATTCTTTGCCTTTTCCAGATTTTGGTGTCTGCTTGCATTCCCTGACTTGTGGCTGCATGACTCCAACCTCTACTGTAATTACATTGCCTCTTTTGCTTTTGTGTGTTTCCTTCTGTGTGTGTGTGTCTCTCTCAAACTCTCTCTTACAAGGATACAGTGATTGCATTTAGGGTCCACCCAGATAATCCAAGATAAGTATGTCCTTTCAAGATCCTTAACTTAATCACATATTTTGCCACATAAGGCAATATTCACAGGGTCCATGGATTTGACATGGGATATTTGGGGGTCTATTTTTTGGCCTAGCACAATATATATGGTAGAATTGCATGGTAGGGTCTCCAGTCTTCTCAAGTTAGCCTTTGACTGGTTATTCTCTATGTTGTCAGTAGCAAATTTTGAATATGCCTAAGGATGGATTGCCTATCTGAAATGATCTAAGATATCCAAGTCACTGTCACTTAGTATATTAGAATGAAAAATAGGTAGCTTCAGTATCACCCATGCAATTAGAGCCCCAAATGCCTGCCAGTAATGTGACTTTTCATGATTCTTGTTCACTGGGTTGCATTTGCAACAGGAACAGTAATAGGTCATAGAAAATGGATGGTTAGTGAATACAATATCTTTCTTGGGATATATGGATATTCTAGAATAGTGGTTGAGAAGATGAAACATGAGCGGGTAGACAGTAAAGTCAATTCATGGAAATACCTAATGTTCAAATAACCACATTTCAAGTTTATATGCATTTAATTACCCGAATTTAAAAGGTCATTGAAGTGAGGATGAGAGTAAGACACCAGTGTTGAGATGTTCCTACAGCCTATGCACTTGATGCCTGAGAATAAATGCCATAGTTAGAGCTGGTTTGCACCTTTCTAGTCCTAGGAGTTCTTTCTACATAATATATTTTCTGTTTTGATTTTCTTTGTTTGCATGTGCTATGGTCTGAATGTTTGTGTTCTCCCCAAATTTATATGCTGAAATTCTAATGCCTAATGAGATGGTATTAGGAGGTGGGGCTTTTGGGAGGTGATTAGGTCATGAAGGCAGAGCCTTCATAAGTAAGATTAGTGCCTTAATAAAAGAGACGCCAGAGAGCTCCCTGGGCCCTTTCACCATGTGAGGATACAACGAGAAATCTGCAACCCGGATGGGGACCTTTGCCAGAGTGCGACCATGCTGGCACCCTGGTCTCAGACTTCCAGCCTCCAAGACCGTGAAAAATGTTTGCTGTTTATAAGCTACCCAGTTTGTGGTATTTTGTTATAGCAGCTCAAAGGGATGAAGAGAGGATGAATGAGAGATTTTTCTACTCTCTTCCATATTTATCTCCCCCTTTAAAAGGAATATGGAATTAGAAGTCAGAAAATCTGCCACTTGCTAACGGTGCAGCTTGAAAACAATCGCTTCTGGACCGTGAAAAACGTTTGCTATTTATAAGCTACCCAGTTTGTGGTATTTTGTTATAGCAGCTCAAAGGGATGAAGAGAGGATGAATGAGAGATTTTTCTACTCTCTTCCATATTTATCTCCCCCTTTAAAAGGAATATGGAATTAGAAGTCAGAAAATCTGCCACTTGCTAACGGTGCAGCTTGAAAACAATCGCTTCTGTTCTCAACTTTTTAATCGATAGAATGAGAAACCATGTAAATATCGATCTCACAGGATTAGTGTGTCTATCAAATGAAATAACACACAAGGAATTGTACTTTAAACTGTCCTTATGTAGATAGTATTACAATCTTTAAATAACATGGCCATGTTGCGTGGTTTTTTGTCTTTAGCATTCAGTATAGTGCTTGGCTATATAGTCTTGTGTTTTTTAAATGTGTATTTTTTCTTTCTACCAGGTAATTTGGCATAGACTATGTACTACACATTTCTTGTAGTCACTTACACGATAATACTTTCACTGTCACTGGGCCAATGGCAATAGTTCGACAAATTCTTATCTGGGCAGAGATAGGAACCTTGGCTGTGGTGTGAGAGACTTGGATGCTTGCTCTTTGCTCGATGGTAAAGTTCTCAAACTATAAGGTGTAAAGAGTCACCCAAAGGAGCTTGTTAACAATGTCCATTTCTTGGCTCCAACCCAATAACTTTGTTAGTAGACAAGACAGGGACCAGGAATCTGCATTTAAAAATTAAATCAAATAATATAGCTTGTTATTATGTTTATATTGTTATATCTCAAAAAAAGAAAAAAGAAAATGCACTATCAAAAAAAGAAAAAAGAAAATGCACTATTTGGCAGTCACAGATCTTGAACAAGAAGTCATGTTAGGTAATTTTTTAAAGAAAAATATGTTCATATCCACCATTTGGATATATGCCTTCTTGTCTTTTTATGTAACTCTGTCAGGTATAGGGCCTTATCGTTCATTTATTGGCATTGATCACAATGCCAAGGAGAGAGTTATACCCTTACTCACACAGGGCAGATACAATGTCCGCTCCTTGATTACGCTGGTATCCTCATTGTCACTCTTGTCTTCCCAGCTGATAATTTGTCTGGAATTTTCATCAAGTTTCACAAGTTTAGCTGCAGTTGTGGCTAAGCAATCCACATTGCTTCCATGAAGCTGTGGTTCATTTAGAGTAGACTCTGAACTCTCTCTCCACCCCCACCCCCTGATTGGTATGGATATTTTTAATACACACAAATGGTTCTGAGCAAGCACTATGAGAAACACTGCGCTAGGAGCAGACAAAGAGCCCATTATTTAGATTTCTCTTTATCAACTAAGCTCCATTTGTTGAACTAGAAGAGAGGAGATGGCTTAAAAGAAAGGGAGGCATAAAATGTGCAGCAAAAGGTGTTCTTGGATGGGAGGAAATCTAATCTTGGATCGATCCCTTAAAATATGTCCCAGAAGTTTGATTTTGGAGCAGTGTTGAATGAAAATGGTGCCAACATTCTGGGCAGACACACTGGAAGAACCAGTATCTGCTGTGCACCAGCCCTGTGCTAGGTACTGTACATGGTTGCTTCATATACTCCTGGTCACCTGCTCTCATGCACCCAGCCCCAGCCATGCCTGACAGATGCCAGACATTCCTATTGTTATAGTTTACCTAATAGAATAAGGATTATATACCCATACTGATAGCCAACTGCTATTTCCATTCTAGGATCATTTTTTGAAGAACTGGGTACAGCAACGTAAACATTTTAGGCACAGAGTGGTGTTATTTATTCATGAAGACACAATGGCAGATAGAAATTTTAGACTTAAGATGTCTACTAGGATTTTAAAATCTGACTTTGTGTTTTACAGAGAGGATTTTTCTAAGTTATCTTATAAGGTTTAAAATAACATGTGGACGGAAATCAGCATTATTTTCACCAGCTTAGCTTTTGTTAATTTATGACTGAGGGAAATGAAAAAGTCAGGACACGTTTTTCTTTCATTGCTACCAGCCGAAATAGCCAATAAGTTTATAGAGCTGTTGGAATGCTTGCTCACAGTTTGACAGATGTGCCATAGTGTTAATAGTAATTATATTGTTTGTGCCAGTCGAAGGAGGGCTTTGCAATTGCGAATATCAGACTCAGGATGAGAGGTTGATGTGTAAAGGGAAAAGAGAGATAACTAACCTTAACGGAGGACTTAAACCCCCAAACACTTCAGAATGTATTAAATTGAGACTTACATTAAATCTTGAGTTACTTGTCTGCCTGGATCGTTTTTCTGCCAGTAGATCTTTAACTGTGTGCTTCACTCTCACGCCTTGATACACCCGTTTGCTGTAGTCTCCTGGGACTTAAGCAAATGGAATAGTAACAATCAAATGTGGATGGAGTAATTAGGTTAACCTCTGGAAGGATATATTCAGGGCCGATAATTGTAATGCTATTTTTTGTTAGAACGAGAGACTCAAATTTGAAATGGCTTCAATAGAGATCATTTAGTCCTATCTCCTGGTCCTTGATAGAAACTCATCCAAGCTCTGCATAGGTGAAACACTATTCCACCTTCTACAAAACAAAATTTCAAAGTGTCCTCTTTTTTGTACTCTGGTTTGCCAAGGTTTATTCTAGTTATTTTTAAAATTTATGCTTTAATTGCAAGATCAGGGATTGGGTACAATTGGAAATAATGCTTCCTACTACATGATGCAAAAGTTAGATTTGCATGAATCAGGTTACAGAGTGACACTATTCCTGCTACATCATATTTCTACTGGATGTAGGTAGGCAGGTCAACTGGACTGTTTTAAAAACATTATGTTCCTAAGAAGAAAGTCACTTGTCTCTGTTTACTGTACCAATTTATATATTTCTTATTTTTGAAAACACAGTGATTTCGACATGAGGAGCTGCTGCTTTGAAACTAGGCCAAGGATACGGGAAGAGTCATTTATTCATTTAACAAATACTTATTAAGCACTTACCATTTGTACTTATCGAACATATAATAGTACAAGTTATGTGTATTATCTTATTTGATCCGTTTTACAGATGAAGAAACTGATGTCTGGGGCTACGTTATTTGCCAAGGTCTCAAAGCAGACTTAATAGCTGGAATCCCGACTTGGGTCAAATTATAGCCCTAACGACCAGAAAAAAACTTGCTCTTTTTATCCTGAGGAAATTACAGAGAGAGAACAGACTACAGAGAAAAATATTCCCCTAAGGTTCTGAAATTGGCGACATTGCTTCTGGGGTAATGACTTCCTTGTCATTGGGGCTGGTCAAAGACAGGAGAACCTTTTGTTTAGATTATTATAAAGGATTAAGCACTGAATTAGTAGTTGAACTAGAGGAAGTATAAGGTACTTTCTAACTCTGAAATTGTCGTTCTGTAGAAGGTTGGATGGTTTCAATTCATTGAGGTGTTGCTGGCTTACCAGCATTTTCAGCTGGCACGGCATTCAGCATCAGAGTGTATGGCAGAACATACTAATGTATGTGTATTAGATATATAACCAAAAATATTCTCTAATCTGGTTGAATTTGTAGACAGTCTAAGATATATTTGATTTATGAGTCAAATCTCATTACAAACAGAATGAAAAAAAAATAAAGGAAGAAACCAAACCCAAACCACAGAGTGATGCACTGGATACAAAAGGCTGCTGGGCTAGGAGTCGGTACTATACAATGCATATTAGTCACTGATTTGGGAAAACCACCATCTCTCAGCTCCATGTTCTTCATCTGTAAAATGGGTATAATAACCACTCCATAGCTGACTTCAGAGTTTTATAAGATATGTATATGAAAATGCTTTGGAAACTACCAAGTTTTATACAAAAGGCCTGTACTAAATGAAGGGGAACAAATCTAGGTTCCAAGACAACATATTATTTAATTCAAATAAAGCCACACACAGCCTGATTTCAGCAAAATAAAGTTATTTGAGTGGTCCGTTAGGTCTAATTTTGATAGGACGTGATCTATTTATCTTTTAATTAAAGAGCCTTGAAGTACTTCTTTCCAATCAGCCTTAAATTTAAAGCTTAATGATATTATATTATTTCAAAGGATTCTAAGTGTTGCTCCTAGAATTGTGTATAACGTCTTATCTTTTAGAAAAGCCTAAGTCAATATTTATTCATCGGTTATTTATTGAGTGCTTTCTGTATTAGGCATTGTGTCAGAACTACGATACAGAAAAACATGCTACCAGGTGAAGAGAAATACTTAAAAAATAATTATAATGCAAATGTGCTACGTATAAGAGAAATATGCCTAGATATTCAGAAAAACACAGAATGTGTCAATTCCTTGTTGGGGGAGAGGGAGTTAAGGAAGGCAAGGTGACACTGAGGTAAGGGGTGTGTGGTAAAGGCAAAATGGGCAGGAATGTTCAGGCATAGAGGACAGCATGGGCAAGGGCCTGGAGGCAAGAACAGAAAGAAGTGTGTGAGGGAAGATGTGGCAGGAAGTGAGCCTGGGGAAGTGAAATGAGTAGGGCTCAGTCATGAAGTTTCTTGGGTGCAAAGGAGTTTGGACTTCATCCTATCTGCACTGAGCCGTTGCAGGCTTTTAAGCATGGGAGTGATGTGGTTAAATTTGAGTTTTAGGTAGAATTTTCTGGCAGCTGTATGAAAGGTGGCCTTAAAAACCACAGGGAGATCAGGCAAGAAAATTCTATAATAATTCAGGCAAGAGGTAATGGGTCTGAGTAGTGGTGCATAGGAGGGCAAGGAGCAGACAGATTTGGAAATTATTTAGATGTGGGAGGGAAAGGAGAGGGAAGATTCAAGGGTGATTTTCGATTTTCCACCATGGAGTGGGTTTGGGACAGCAGGTCCAGAGCCATCATGTTGATGGTAATGAAATCTCTTGGGGAGTGTTTGAAAGATAGAGTCACATGATGGCACACAGAAACAATATGTGTCTGGCACATTGGAATAAACAGGCCAGGCTACTCCCAAGGGCTGAGAGGATCAATATGTTGGGAACTCTTACAACGCTGATTCCTGACACACTAGTTGGGAAGCTCTGGACTGAATGGTTAAGATGGAAGCCTGGAGAACATCCTCATTTGAAGGGTTGTCAGAGGAGCAGAGAACTCCCTATAAAGAAGAAATGATTGGAGAAGAACCAGGAAAAACCAGGGGAATAAGACATCACGGAATAAAGAGGTAGAGATTTCAAGAAAGGAAAATATGAGATGCAGCAGAATGATCCAGGGAGATAAAGACGGCAAAGCATCCATTACTTTCAATTCAGTGGTTGGAGTGTTGGGCCTTAGCAATGGCAATTTGGGAAGGATGGAGTAGCTAGAAGCTTGTTTCATGGTTCCTCTGATCTCATTTCCTAATACTCTCTCCCTTACAGATAATAAAGTTAAGGGAAGAGGTGGAGTCAGGGAGAGAAACTACTTCTTGAAGTTTGAATGAGAAAGGGAAGCAAGAAATTTGGATAATTTGGATAATTGGAGAGAACGAAAAGATCAAGGAGAGATTTGCTTATGTTTTTATATCTATATAGTTATGGGTAGAAGAGATTTGAGGATATTTAAACAGGACAGAGAAATGGACTAAAGATTTAGGACAGAAGGAGAAAATGATGGAAAGATGTCTTGAAACGGAAGCAAGAAATTAGGGTCCAAGGCACAAGTTTGCTCTCCACCTCTGAGACTAGATTAAAGAAGTGTGGGGGAGGGGTGGCCCCTGGCGGGTATACTCAGTGACTAATACACTTTCAGGGCCCCTAGAAACAGTGTGGTTTAGGAGAACACCTCAAATGCGTAATGCCCCTCAAGGCAGGGTTCAAAGCCATACAGATAAGTCAGAGTGAGAGTATACACCAGTGATCCTCTGGACCGGCAGTAACAGTATCAGCTAGAAACTTCTACATGCAGATTCTCAGGCCCTACTCCAGATGTACTGACTCAGAAACTTTAGGAGTGGGCGCCCAGCAATCCATGTTTTAATAAGCCCTCTGGGTGATATTGATGTTCTCCGAAGTCTGAGAACCACAGGTATACGTAAGAGTAAGGACTTTATAAGGTTCCTGTGGAGGTGGGGGCCAACTCTACCCAGGCATCCCTGGCTAAGCAAAAAGGGGAGCATCTGATTGATTGATGGCAGATGTGGACTTAGGTATGAGAAGGAGTTGAAGAGGTCCAGGCTGGATCCTTTGTGTGTTGGCAGACAGTCTTGGCTTCACTTTTTTCCGAAGGGCTTTTTAATTGATGATTTCAATCTGATTATCTATTTATGCTTTATGTGTATGTCAAAAAGCCTAGAGGAAATACACCTATTCTAAATAAGTTTAACAAATAACTACATTGTAATAAATAGAGAGATAAAGTTTATGAGATGGCAAATAACCAGATCAACACTTCTGAAGTTTTGTCATAAAACAATCAGTCTATGTACTAGTTGGCACCGACTTCGTGCAAAGTATAGGGCTATATGCCACAGGGGATGCAAAATAAGTTTAGAACATCTAACAGATGTCCTCAAAGAGATTTTATTTAGTGAGAAAAATAAGACATTCATATGTGAAAAGGGATGAGAAGGAAAGCGTACCCTTTGGATTGTTGATGAACGTTTTGTGGGAAAGGATGGGACTTAGGTTGGACTTAGAAAGATATGGATGGGTTGAGAGGAGGGAGAAAGGCATGGCGTGAGCAAAAGCAGAGGCAGGAAGGAACAAGGCAAGTATAGAAAGGGTAAGGAACTAGTGTAATTGTGGTGGCTTAATCAAATAAAATATTCTATGGCTAGGACAGGATCTTTGACCAGTTAGAAGTGTACATTTAAGAAATATCTTTAAAACTATGGTAATTAAAGCTATGAAAATAAAGTTCTCCAAGGAAGACTTTGTAGCAAAAGAAGACTAGAAATCTCAGCACCTGAGACTCAGGGAAAGGCTACAGTTCTGATGATCAGGGGAGGCTGGGTGGGGAGGTTGGGAGGGGAGGTTAGAAATGCAGGTATGTGATGTACCAGAGTGGCAGCATCAGGGTGATGGAGGAAAGAGGGGGTATAGAGAAAGAGGAATAACCAGTAGTGCCAAGTGTCTGGCACCTAGTAGGTGCTCATTAAATATTTGTGGAGCAAATAAATGCCTTAGAGAAATTGAGAAAAATGAAGACCCAGAAAGACCATAGGGTTTGGAAAGGTGAAGACCTTTTTCAGAACATAGGAGAGCAGTTTCATAACAGTGGAGATGAAACCCTTTCTCTGGGGGTGAGTAAACAGGGGCAGTGGGGATAAAGCATGCTCTGAAGCAGTGATACAAGAAAGCAAATACCAACATTTTACATGGCATCTAATGTGAATTAAAATAAATTTTAACTAAGCAGTGGAAACTAGTACAAATTCTTTAATCATCTGGAATATTCGTGTTTTTGAGAATTCTGAAAGTGCCTTTACCTACTCTTTCTTTTTTGGAGAGAGGACTGATATTTAGAGTTTTAAAACGTTACAAGTATTCCTACTCCCCAACATTGTTTTCCCTGTGCATTGTGTCTATTTAAAGACTCTACACCTGCATAAACCAGGAGCCGCTTAAGAGTTTTTATTCAAATACTCTCGATACAAACTTGCATTCAGATCAGTTGTTGAGAAAACAAAGACTTGTGTTTCCTGAGAGAAAGCGCAAGCAAATTTATTAGTAAGAATCAATTTGTCCTTCAGAATTTTGGGGTAAAATGTCCTGTAGTATTGAGGTTATGTATATGCAACAAACTGTCCCAGTTTGTCTTCTCCTTATTCCTATTTGCTTTGCTGAAGAATTTGGCCCATAGTAAACTTAATGGTGCTGTTGTTTTACTATCGTTTTTGAAAATTAACATTTTCTGTATCAAATCAAACTCTATATTCTGAAACTGAATACTCAAAATGTAAGTGATTCCTAAACGGTTTTTAGTTGTTAAATATCAAATACACTTACTATTTTTGATGATATTCTCTGGAATACAATTTTTGCTTTTAAATTCTGTAGAGTCTCTAAGCAGGTTCTTGTAACATAGGTAAAGGAATAAAGAGATAGTTCAAAACAAACAAAGGATAAGAAAAAACAATTCATATTTTGAATTACATCATTAGATAATGGCAGAATTAAGATAATAGATGATGTATCTCTGAATTGTAGACCCTGAAGGTACAGAATATAGGCACACTATCACTCAAGACTGGGCAGAATAAAAATCCTGAATGATGGCGTCCTGGTGGACAGCGTTCACGTTGATTCTATTTCTCTGCCTGTCAGGGAAGTACCAAGAATGAGGTCTGGACAGTCCAATGGCAATAGAGTGTGTTGGTGCACCATCTGGCTTAGTTACCGGGCCTGGTACTGTGGGTGCCCTTCTCCTCAAGCCACTAACCCAGCTCAGCCTGCCTTGCCGAGGATCAGAGACCCGTCACCGCGGAAGGCAGATACTCACTGAGGAATAAATAGCGCTAGGTCTACACTCACTAGAGACTCAGCATTTGTGGCTTCACTTCTGATCTGGGGAAAGGACAGCATTTTAGTTTTATTTTTGGGAAACCTCCAAAAGACTACAAGGAAAGGCACGTTCAGCAACTAATCTTGAAATGTGCAAAATATTAATTATTAATTAATTATTACGAAAGCTTAAACTGTAATAAAGACTGAAACTTTTAAAGAAGCGAAGCCAAATTAGTTAACCTGTTGGGATTTTGGAGAAGTGTGGTTTGCTTACACAGCAGGTATCCACAAGCCCCTCCCAATAGCCACCCCTCTCTCCCACCTTTTAAGCCTTCTAGCAGGATCCAAAAACTTAGAATTTCTGTCAATAACCAATTCGATGCTGCAGAACACAGATGCTTTTATGGCTCTTGCTGGTTTCTTAATTTTTGAGATCAGACTTTGAGGAGCTGGGGTGTTTTAAAAAATATTAATTTTTCTTTCTAGGTACTTTACAACTCATTTTTGAAACATTTCTTGTCATTATTTATTAACATTTTAAATGCCAACTTTTAAATCTCAAATTTGTTCCTAAACAAATTCTATGTTGACACTAACATATGTACCTTCAGAGTGAACAAACCGAGAAAGATCTATATATAGTTTGAATTCATGAAGTAATGGCCCAGGCTCTTCTTTATCTTGTGTATGTGGAAAGTCCTTCATCTTTAGCCTAAGAGCCTAAAGCAGGATGCATAAATATAAGATATTCAGGTTGTATGTAAATGTGAATTCTTCTCCTGCACTTTTCTTATAATTGCAGGTTAACCGACAGTTGTTACATTTAACATCAAATTGCACTATACTGGAAAAGAACATTTTAATATTCAGGTCCTCATTTGGGTTGATCTTTCAGAATAAATACCTACATAAACACTGTGCAGCAAAGCAAATCTAACAATTAGTAATTAAATGTGACTAGAATTATAAAAATGTTACCAAGAGTTCTAAAGTGTTGGTTTCTGGTCAATGTTGTTATATTTTCATATGTTCTAGTCAGAGTTAAGGATATGTCTTCTTGTCTTTTGCTTCATGTTATGACTTTATGATGTCAAAAAAAAATATTATGATTATTAAAGGTTTTTTTTTTTAAAATTTTAATAATTGACATTGACTCACCACTTTCCATTCTGAAGGGTTCTGGTGAATTTCCTTCTTAATAGTGAATGGCGTATCCTCCTTGATAAGGGATCCTGGTCTCCTGGAAAGGTCAGCCTGACGCCGATGGGAAGTCTTCTGTACATGGTAGTGATGCTTCTAAAATGACTTGCTTTAGATTTGGTTAAATGCAAATCCTTCAGTGTCCGTTTCTCTACAATTTGCATCCCTGATGTAGATTATATATGAAGGTACTTTTTCCTCCCCAAGAAGATTTTTATTCAGTAACAATGAGTTTCCATTAGGAACAAACTCTTTTAAAAGTTTATTATGGAAACAAAGAATCCATTATTGGTTTATGAATAACAGGGGCATTTTCTGTTCCTTTAATGTAGAGGTAGGTTTTAAAAAATAGTACATATGAAAAAGTCTGTATTTCCCACTAGGAAATATAGGTGCTATGCCTGTAATACTTAGATTATGGGTACGTGATTTTTAACAACTAAGCATCTTTCAGATATAGATAGAACTCTAGGATGATATTTTTATTTAGGAATAAAAATCAAAATTAGTGTCATTTTAATACAATTGGATAGTCTTTTTATTATATATTATATATAATAAAAATATATATTATAAAGTGTACAATCTTCCCACCCATCCCAAATGCTTCTGAATGGACCCTGACTGGTAAGGCCAGACCAAGCAGAGCGTTGT